TTGTTTAGCCTATATATAGTCTCTTTGTATTTAAGTTAAATAATCTTTTCTTATTCAATTGCATTATGCAGAATCAATAAAACTCTAGCCTCCTTTTCGTTTTCTTTATTTCATTGGATTATTTAACAGATCTGTCGGTAGAGGAAACACAAATTACTCCAATCCTTGGACATAACAATTTCCGTCTCATGAGATACTAAAAGTATAATAACAATGTGTTGATATAGTTCAGGAACTTACTTGATTTTGAGACCAACAATTCCTCAGCTTTTTTAATTGCAAAAGTGCAGAGTGTGTGCACTTCTTGTGCAACAGAGAGTCTACTTGTAAGTCCCCGAGACCTCATGCCTGAATGTCCATCTAGTGGACTCAATTCTGGTTCTAATTTAACTTTGGCAGCTTTAATCAATTCATGGAGTTCATTGAGTTTACAATTGCTGTCAAGGAGTATGTAACTCAATCATATTCTATATCTTAAGACATCAATATGTAGGGACGATCTACAAAGGGGCCTACATGGGCAAGTGCCCCTGTAGATTTTGGGGTTGTTTTTTTTAATTAAATATAAAAAGAAAAAAATCTAAAACCTACCATTCATTCATCTCCAGCTGCCCTGCCCAGCCCCACCCCGCCCCTCTCCAACAACTCTGCGCCGATTCTTCTTCTCCTCCCAACTCTCCTCTCAATTCTTACATACTTTGCACCCTCTTTTTCCTCCTCTCTTTTACTCTCCCCATCCACCTGGACTTTGATGTCACTGGACAGTGGTGAGTAGCGAAGATACACAAGGTAAAATCTTCAACTCTGTTGTCATTTAAGGTTTTTTTTTTCAACTTTTTTGAAGTCAATTAGATCTTAAAATTGTACTTTTAGATTTGTGTCCTACCTGTGGATTTTTCTTTTCAAATTTCTTGCTTTTCACTCCTAACCTTTTCGATATATGATCAAAACCCCGAAGTATACTTTTACATATTTGGTTCTCCAGTGGAATTTTTTGTTGAATTTTTAGTATTTCTTGTAGCGTTGTTTTTCTGGTCGGTTTTTGTTTGCGGGCTCTTCTCAAAATTTCTTATTTGTAATTTATTTCATTGTTGTACTGAGATTGTTTCATAATTCATTTTTATGTTTTTTCTGATTATTTCTATCTTTTTTGCGAGCGTTT